GTATATGTGTATGTGCATATGTGAGAATTAGTATTTATGCCTGACTCATATACATTCATACAAGCACTCACACACACACACACACACACACACACACACTCACACACACGCACACACACGCACACACACACCCATACCCCTAAGGCAATAAATAGCTTACAAAGACTCTGGATTAAGATTCAAGCACCTGATAACAGTAGCAAAATAAAATCTGTTTAAAAAGGAGAAGCTAGAATAGATTTCAATGGGTGAATTCATTGGTCCTTATTTTCTGGGAGCTTAGAAATAAAGAAAGAATGACATAGTAATATTCAGTATTCAAAATGGTACAATAGTTCAATTAAGCCATTTTTTCTCTCAATTCTTAATAGCACTTAGTCACTGAATGGGTGTTGCCTCAGCTAAACTGAGGGCTGGAAAAAAATCTTAATTTTGAAAAGTCAAGGCCATCTACTGCACCCTCAGTCATTGCTAGCCATCTTGACTTTTATCTTGCCACTGGATTTCAATGACTATGGAGGAAAGAATAAGGCTGATGCTTTTGTAGAGCTCTGCCTCACTAAATTAATTTCATATACAAGTCAAGACATTACCCTTGTGATGTAATTGGACCTCTTCTGGAACAAAAGATGAACAACAACAACAAGAAAGAGCACTAGAATAAGAGTCAAGATAGACCCAGGTTCAAATCCTTCCTCAAGACAATAGTTGTTTGACCGTATATAAAATCTTTACTTGAATTTCATCATCTGAAAAATGGAAATAAATGTACATTTTTATGAGACTAATATAAGTGCTTTGCAAACCTTAAAGAGCTATATCAATGCTGACCATAATTATCACCACCACCACCATCATGTCATCGTCATTATTTACAGAAGGCATGTAAAAGGGCTGCTGTGAGAAATTCACACACTTTGTGGCTGAAATCACACCTGCCTTTGGAGACAGATTTGTTTATTAGTTGTTATTTCTATGAGCACTGTTTGTTTTCATTGACCTCTATGTAAAGTTGTCTATTCTATAAATCTTTTCAGCAGTTTGCTCAAAAAGAAAATGATGCAAACACGTGAGGTTACATCAAACAGGAAGGTCCCTAATATTTTGGATGTGAAAATGATCTAGAGAAGGAAGAAAACTGCAAAAGAGTGTCATATACTTACTTATCAGCCTTTGGTTATGACTCACTGATTTTTTTTCCACTCAGAATTCATAGCTCTGTTACTACCTCTGTAAAAATGAGATCCTTAAACTTCCATATCTCAAAAAAAAATGAGGGATTGAATTAAATTATTTTTACCATATCTTCCAGGTTTATGTGCTAAGGTATTATACTCTTTCCCTTTGATTAGTACACACTGGCATCATATTCTGCTGGTGCGTTGGTCACAGCCAAATGCTCTGAACATGAAGTGTTATGAAGGTATTGCTTCACGAAGATGAAGATAATTTTGCTTTCACTTTTAAAGAATAATGGAATTCTTTATTGACACAACTGAGCTTTCACAATGCTGTTAAATGGCACCTCTTCCTTCCCTTCCTCTTCCCTCCTTGTTGATACACTCTCTCCCAACCCCTGTCTTAGAGAATATCTAGTTTAATTTGAAGTTTAGCTCATTTCCAGCTACTAGAAGTAGCTCATTTTCATCAAAGAACAACTACCTTCCCAACAGAAGTTCCCTCTTCTTATTCTCCTCCCCTTGCCATATCATATCAGCTTTTTAAAGACACAGGCTGTTTAACTTTTGTATTTCTGGTGTTTAGCACAGTACCTGGAGCACACAAGGCTGTTTTCAAATATTTGTTAATTTGAAATACGCTGAATATCTATGGAATTAGAAGTCGTATGACTGGTCAGATAGTAGAGTACGCATGTTCTGCAATCCTTTTCAACATGTGAATCCCCAAAGAAAGGATATTTTCAAGATATGGGAAATTTAAAAATGATATTATAAGATAATAGATACAAGCCCTTTACCAGGGGGCCAGAATACTTACAGAATTTTCAATGGACTCACAGTCATAGGGATTCATTCCCCTATGGCTACAATAAGGCAGCTAAATGGTGTAATGGGTAGAACAGTAGACCCGGGGTCAGGAAGACCTGAGTTCAAATTCAACCTGAGACATTTACTAGTTTTGTGACCCTAGGCAAATAATTTGCCTTGGTTTCCTTAACTCTAAAAATGGGGATAATAATACCTACCTCCTAGAGTTATTTTAAGGATCAAATGCAATAATATTTCTAAATCACTTAGCACAGTGCCTGATACATAGTAGGAACTATATAAATGCTAGTTGTTTATTATTATTATTATTATTATTATTATTATTATTATTATTATTTTATGCCTGAAAAGTGCCTTCTCTTATAAGAAGCAAAAGATGTTGAATTTGTTAAATCCAAAGGAAAAGAGAAGAGAGGATAAAAAAGAGGAATCAGGTCAGTCTCTTATGGATGATAGTATCTAGAGCTACAGGCTAATTAATGTAGAACAGATCATGGGTCTTGATAGAAAGAGGACTAAAAAAATATTAATCCACTTCCCTCCTCCTGCAGTTTAGTTACTTAGGGAAGGGACCTAGGTAAATAACCTTCATAATTTCGAACACCAGGATATTGGGGCCAAATATGGTCCCACTGTAGATGTCACAGCAGCAATGGAAGCAAGGGCTAAAGAATGAACGACATGGGAAATATGAAGAAAAATGGTAAAACATGAATAATATTTTTTAAAAACATATCTTCTCCCTGCTTTAAAAGCAGATAAAACAAGAGAGAAAAATGCTAAAAACAGAAAGGATTAGCAAAAAAAAAAAATAAAAATTATCAATATAACAAAATGTTATAATATTAACCATTATCCAATAGTGAAAGATTGTTGTTGTTCATTCTTCGTTCTCAAAGAGGACCATGACATCAGGAAGGTGATATCAAGAATGGTTCAGAAGAAATTATACATAGATTCAGGTTGAAAATTAAAGCTAATTTAGAAATAAGACTTCTAAACACAAAAATTAAGGAAAAATAAACAACAACAACTCAGTTGGATACATGAAGAAGAATCTCTCCCTAGAAAGAGAATCTGGGAGACAATAATGGATATGAATACAAATATAGTTAAGTAAAGGAAAATATATCAGAACACAAATTAATAGCAAGAGCCAAAATGACTGACCCTGAAGACAAGATTCAAGATACAACTAAGTATTATAGTTCTCTCAGAAGAACAGGACAAACCTGTTTTTTTTTTCTTTTTCTTTTTTTTTTTTCTTTGGCTAGGCAATGGGGTTAAGTAACTTGCCCAGGGTCACACAGCTAGTAAGTTTCAAGAGGCTGGATTTAAACTCAGGTCCTCCTGACTCCAGGGCCAGTGCTCTATCCACTGTTCCACCTAGCTGCCCCAAACAGCACAAATCTGAATGCCACAGTGTGATAATATCAACAAAGAAATAAAAATGCCCAGGACTTTTTAATAAGAATAAATACTTAAGAAAGTGTTCAAATATACCCTAGTGATAAAAAAATTTATTTCCATTTCCAATTGGTAACATTTAACAATATTAAACATAATTTAAAAAATGCATAGGGCAAAGGTAAAAGCTTTTGAATATGGATAAAGTGCATAAAACAAGATTATTCTAGCATCTAAAAAAACACCAGAGAGAGTGGAATAATATGCTCTGAATAGCAAAGAAACTAGAGCTGCAACCACAGGGACATTTCCCATAAAAATTGAACATAATCATTAATGAAAAAAATGTGTTTTCAACAAAAAAGAAAGCTTTTGAAAACTTACTGCAAAAAAAAATTGAAACAAAAATAAAATAAGATGATCAGAATACATTAGCTCCTACAGAGCATGTTTTCTTTAAGAAAACAAAGTTCAAAAAGCAATTCAGTTCCTGGTTTATTTTTCACTAATACTTAATGTTTACTGATCACAATGTAATACACCTCTGATTTAATACTCACACTTTATTAGAATTTTACTTTCTGCATCAGCCTACAACCTACATTAATGTCTACTATCATATAAAGTGTGGGGATCAGTTTAATGAGTTATGCAAAATTCGGAATACCTCACTTTTCTATCACATATTGATGCAATGTATTTAATCCTTCCTGGGAAAGGCACAAAAGTATATACTTACTTTACCATTTTAGCGTTTAGCTTAGCAAAAGAACCTTACCAAAATTTCTCTGATACCCTTTCATCCTCACTCCTTCATAGTTGATAAAATAAAATAAAAAAGTCTCTGTGATACAGCAGAAAGTGTCAATGAAGATATGACATCTCCTCTAATTACATAACATTTCTCTTCCTGTTTTGCGCCTGTTTTTACCTTTTTCCTTTCTCAAAAGTCCTTCAAGCCCTCTCCCTCAATAATCCTATTTGCAAACTATACTCATTCACTCATTAAGCCTTTCCCTTAACAGTACACCCAGTATCAGATACAGATGGCCTCTAACCCATCACTCCCCCCTCACATTCTGTTTTCAAAAAGACTCTCTGTCCCTTCCCCCAGGATGGTTTTAAACAGGAAACTTAACAAGGTCTTTTGAACCAAGATTTAAAGCAGTTTCATCATACCCTCACTTTCTGCTGTCTCCAGAAGGGCCATCAATAATGAGGCAGATGAAAGTTATATATCTGTAACTTAGCAACCAGGACAAAGCTAATGAACATTAGGTTGGAGACTGTATCCTTTATAAATAAAGCCCAAACTGCATCTCAGCGGAATGTATTTTCCATTTTATTGCTGTTTTGACACAAATGAAACCAAGATCTATTCCCCACACTTTGTTTTGGGGGTTACTTGCTTGTTGTGGTGTTTCTTTTCCAGTTTATGTCCTGTGTTATCACCCTGTGGGATAAAATGGAAGAAATGCTAAGAACTACATAAATTGAAACCAAGTATCTTTACTATAAAATGTCCCCACTTATTTATATTGTCTTACTTTAATTTGTGCAATCAGCATCTTTTCCAGGCTCATATTTAGGCCTTTTACTTCCTTTTACATTTGCTTCTGCTTCCTACTATGTTAAAATGTATTATTGCTTGTATAGGTCTAAAAGAAAAAACAGAAAGAAATGGATGAATGTAGCAATAAATGTTTTGGAAAGAAAAAAAGAAGGCTTGTTAAGTTAATTAAATGGGCTTCAGTCTCTGCATTCCTTTTCTTTCCAACTCTGAGAGTAGAATATCAAGAAACTCCAGTGATTCCTTCTACTTACTTAATGTCCCTTGTACCTTCAGTCAGTCATTATTCTCCAATCTCTAGTCCAAACTATAAAGTATCCATTTCACCTAGCCCTTGATGGGCAAAAGAATTATGATGCTGTATAGTGCAGAAGAAAATATCCCTTTATATATTTATGCATTTACTCTATCAAGGGCCACTACAGTTACCAAATTATTGAGATGGAAAAACATCTGAAGGGCAACAGAGAGTTGTATGGTATATACAATTAGGTAGCGATATGCTGCAACTAAAAAAATAAATAATAAATACGTAATAAAAACAAACAAATAAATAAGGAATTGGAGATAACAAGGGAGGAGAGAGCAAAGGGTGGGAATAAAACATATGTATAAGGGGAAAAAAAGACTGCAGACTGTGGCAAACACAGGGAACATTCTTTGGCTGGATAGGCTGATATGCTAGAAATCTGGGCTATTTGGCAAGCCCCTAGGGCAAACTAACAACAAGTCAAGGACAATAAACACAGAATGCCAAGGCATAATTCTTTCATAATCACAATCATCATAGGGAATAAATACATCAGAGAAATAAAAAAAAACAAGTTTGAATATTTAAGGATATCCAGGGTCCTAGAGGGAGGAAAATAAACCATTGGAAGGCAAGATAGAAAATAAAAGATAAAAATGAATAAAAAATAACTTAGACACACTTAGTCTACCCATGCCACCATGACACTTAGAGGAAGAAAGGTAAATTCATGATTAAAAATAATTGAATAAAGCACAAAATGATATTCATCTCTAGAATCACACTATTTGGATCAAAGTATGAAGTGGCATTTGTTTATTTTATACATAAACATATTGATTAGTGATACAAATAAAGATTAGATACAGATTATATGTACACGTCTATCTATAATCATATATGGAATTTAGGAGGAAAGAGCACATACACAGTGCATTGTTTGTTCTTCATTTTCAGAGAGGACCAATGACATCAAAGGTGATGACTTGCACATGAATTGTTTTCAAGTGAGGCACAGTTGCATAAAGTCATCACCCTTACTCTGTCTTCATAAGTCATTGAAGTCCAGTGGCAACACAAAAGTCAGGATAACTAGTGATGGCCTGGGATGAAGTGGAGATCTGGAACATGTCAAATAATGCTGTAAGCTCTCCGTAGTCCCTGTTTCAGCCGTCTTTATGACTGTTGAAACAAAGTGTCCACAAGCTTGGGGTAGACATCCCCATAATGCATTGACAGGCTTGAGGACTGTAAATTACCATCAACTTGGTTTAGCCTGTACGGCAAAATGATTTACCAGGTTGTAGCCAATGCACATACTACAGCTTCTTGGAACCACAGGTGAGAGTTGGGTAAACAGTAGACACCAAAGGTGGATAAGCAGCACTGAAAAGGGCTCAGCAAGCCATCACATAAGATATACTGGTCCACCTGAACATCCTGTATGTATATATGAGCGTACACATTTGTGTGTGTGTGTGTGTGTGTGTGTGTGTGTGTGTGTGTGTGTGTGTGTGTATATATATATATGTATTCTTCTTTTCCTGTTAATTTAATAGAATCAAATAGATAAACTGAAATATATTTACTGTAATAATCAATATCTTCTCTATCAGTGTGTGTGTATATATATATACACACACACATGATGTGTAATATATTTTATAATTTAACATATTATATATAAAAGTATTCCATAAAATACATAATTTTATATTTATAGAAATAAAGATGAGAAGGCAAAAGCAGAAAATGAAGAGAGGAGAAACTACTGACAGTGGAAAAAAAAGCCATAAGGATAGGTGAAAGAAGCCTACAAGATTGACTAAAAGCAAACAACAGCAGAGTGTTATATTCATTAATAGTAAAGAGATATATTGATGCCTTTATAGAGAATCAGAAATTAAGTGAGGGGTAAAGGAAATAGGAAAAGGCTAAAACTTGGGAAAAAGAGACAGAGACTATCAGAAAGGTCCTGGTTGCCCTTTGCTGTTGCCTTGATGTTGTAGATGAATTTTCTCTCCATTCTTCTTTTGCTTTCATACTGCTATGGCTATGTCATAGATCTATGACTGCATCAATGTGGGTATTACAGGCAAAAGCAAAGAAAGATACTCCCAAAGAGACACACAGCAATATAGGTATGGCAACTGAGGAATAGCATAGCTGTTTGTCCCCCACTGTCCCCAACTCTGTGGATATGCTGGTGGTCTTGTACATATAGCAGGCTGCCCCCTCAAATCAAAGGTCCTGAAACACTTCATGCTTAAACTGATAGAGCATTTTTAAACCAAGAGTTGAAGTAGTACTAACATAAGTCTGACTCACCACCTTTGATTCAATGCAATGGGGATATCTAGACCACTGAAATAAAGGTCTGAATTATGTATTAAGGAATGAGGAGTGAGGGGGAAATGTAACACAGTTTTAAAGGATAAAAATCATTGGAATGGGTAGAGATATCAAGTCTCTGGGATATCAAGATATCACAAGTCTTATTATGCATGTATCATACAGGCTAGGACTTTACCAGTCAAACTAGCTTTTACTTACTCACAGGTATTCCCTGAAACATGCAGATGGAAACACATTCATACTTTCCCACTTATCCATGTTTTACATATGGGGTTCATCAAACCTTGTGGAAATTTTCCTTAAAATCACTTGAGACATTATGATTTTCAGTCCATTTGTTAACTCTCATTCTTTTTTATATGACCAATCACTCCTCTTCTTTTTTTTTTCCTGTGATACTCTCCTTTAAGCAATACTTTTTTTATGTTTATTTTTCTCATTCGCATCATATTTAGCCATGTATCACAGCCAACTGATACCCACAAATTTTCTCCACTGCTTTTAGAATAAGTTATAATTTTATTTTATTTTATTTTTTGAGATGATGGTTTCCCTTGACTGAAAGTCAGAAAGTATCAAGAAAAGATGATTTGTATTCTATTCTCTTAAGTGAGTTTTCCACTGGGGGAAGCTTTAGTTCTGTTAAAAGTACTATAAAATTACCCCAAATCCATCCAGCCCCTTCTCTCTTTCTATTTAATTTTTGGCCTTGTTTATTGTTCATCCACAGTACCAGTTACACACATACACATACACACGCACGCATGCATACAGGCACAATACATATGAAATAACTCACATTTTTGCATGTGTTCATATGCATTGTGTATTTATATACATATATGTTTATTTATATCACTAATTACAATGCACATATATCTATCCCTAATACACTCAAGAATGCTATCAAATGGTTCAGATCTAAGCCTTCCATTGTTGTATAATAGCTATTCAAGAAGAACTTAACTGATTTAGTTTATAAGAAATCCATTAATAATTTGATGTAATTACCACACTGTCAATCAAAAATAGGATCGTCTGGAGGCTGGCACCATCTGTAGGAAATTCCTTTTTGACTTGGACCATCAAAAGTATTAGCAAATACATTTGGTGGCCATTGATATTCCATTTAATGTTGATATAAGAGGAGGCAGAGCCAAGATGGTGGAGAAAAGGTAGTGACTCACCTGAATTCTCCCCCAAATCCCTTGAAAACCTTTAAGTAATGATGTATGGCAGAATGGCAGAACCCACAAAATGGTAGGGTGAAATATTTTTTCTAGCCAAAGACGATGTAGAAGGTCAGCAGGAAAGGTCTTTTGAACCTGGGTAAAAGTGGAGCTCAGTCCAGAGCAGGCCTCACCAGCAGAGACCTGTCCCAACAGAGCAATAGTAGGATTTGGGAGTCACTGAATTAGCAGTAGCAACTATTGCTTCAAGAGCTCTCAGCTCACAGATAATAAGGACATCAAACAAGTGGTCAGGAGATTACAGGAGTCTTTTTACTAGCACTGAGACAGGACTCTACTCCTTTACTGTACAGATCCTCTTCACAGTCCTGGGTAGCAGTCCCAGTGCCAGGAGGAGCACTAACACACCAGTGTTTGTGGACCACAGTGGGTCAGAGACCTTTGTCACAATTCTGGGGCAGAAAAAGAGTGCTTGTCATCTCTCCCAGAGCCGAGCCCAAGCCAGGAGAGTAGTAAACAATTCTCCTTAGGTCATACCACCTTGAAAGAACTGAGAACTGACAAGTTTCTAGAAGTATTTCTAAAAACAGCTGCACAAAACTTCTGAAGCTTTGAACAGTGTGCATACCACCCTGGAAGCAGAGCCCTGCTTTAACAAAGAGTTAAAAGTCAAATAATAAACTGGAAAAATGAGCAAAAAAAAAAACAGAAAAAAATTCTGATCATAAGAAGTTACTATGGTGACAGAGCAGCTCAAAACACACACTTAGAAGATAAGAAAGTCAAAGCTTCTACATCTAAAGCCTCCAAGAAAAAATTAATTTTCAGACTGTGGAAGAGCTGAATGAGGATTTTGAAAATCATGTGAGAGAGGTAGAAGAAAAATTGGGAAAAGACATGACAGTGATGCAAAAAAATTATGGAAAAAAAGAGTCAACAGGTTCTTAAAGGAGACAAACACAGAGAAAAAAAAATATTGAAGAAAATAAGAACTTAAAAATAGAATAGGCCAAACGGTAAAAGAGGTACAAAGAGCCAATGAGAAGAAGAATGCCTTGAAAAGGTGAATTGGACAAATCGCAAAATAGGTGCAAAAATTCACTGGGAAAAAAAAAAACTCCTAAAAAAGTAGAATTGGCCAAATGGAAAAGGAGGAATGAAAACTCACTGAAGAAAAATAATCTAAAATTAGAATTGAACAAATGGAAGCTAATGACTTTATGAGAAATCAAGAAACAATAAAACAAAATCAAAAGAATGAACAAAGCTACAGTACAACATGAAATAGTTCAC